TGCAAACTCTTAAGGACGATAAAAACATAGAGTAAAACATAAAGGGAAAAAATCAAAGAATCATGCAAGAGGCAAACTATCATGTCACAAAATCGACAGATTACTTAGCTGCACAGTGAGCATAATTCACTGGAGAGTTAGCAATGGTGATCCCTGATCATAGCAACTTGAGGTTCCCATCAATTGCGACTCCTCCCTAACATCGCATCAGGTAAGTTTGGAATCTCCATACCCTAGTTCTTGAATAACAAGAATGTTGAGGTAACTCGATTTGATCAACTTTTGCCCCGCTTCAATTCTTCTCTGAATGAGATCAATTATTCGTTTTAGATAAATCAATACGTACTTCTCTAAGAATATTCTCTGTAATTCAACTCAGTTATCAAAAGAGGATTAATGCATCATTATATGTGTAATTCTGTAGTCTTCTTTTTATATCTTCGAATCCCACAAATGTCTCAACAACTTCAACTTCCTTAAACTTGAAACTGAACTAGATGCTAAGCTAATTCATTCTTGGGAGGTTTTTCTTTAGAACTTGATTATGGTAGTTCAGGTGTTGTGTCAGAAGAAAAAACATTATAACTCAAATAATGAATTAACTCTTTGTTCCAAAAATCTTTAACAATTCGGAGGAGGAAAAAACTTTTTAGTCTTTGAATTTCACATTAACAATATATCTATTACAACAACAATAATAACCACATTTACATTCTTCACTCCTTAATTTGAAGTCCTTTGGCCTATGACTCTATGAGTGATTACAAAGGATTCAATACTAAATTGCAATTGTAGGTTAATTATATTATAAAAATATCAGTATAGATATCATTTAAAAGGTCACATTGAGTTTCATTAGAATTAATCGGATGGAGAAGCTCTATGTGCCCCACATTCTCATCCGACAGAATAGTAAATGATGATAACTCAACTATTAGGGGCCTACCACATTAGGTGAAACACGCACATTGTGGCTGCAAATTAAAGATTATCATGTATTTAGCTAGTTAGTTTGGATTATTAATTAGCCTATCAAACTAAAATTTTACAAGTATAAATAGGAATATTCATTATGAATAAAATATGAATTGACATACATTTTTGCATAAAAATTTGAGATGATTTTGAAGAACTCGTGATGAGTTATGCCATGACTTGATGGTGTTATTGATTTATCATGCAAATAAATAACCATATTATTCTAGTGGTCAAAAGCTCAATCACTACTAACCATTGACTTTGGAAATAGGATAGACATTCCTACACTCAGGACCGATTTTTAGATTTTTGTGGCCTTGTTCTAGTAAATAAATGAGGCCCTACCAAAATCACAATCTTTAAAACTAATTATTGGAGAGCTTGCAGTGAGAATCAGTAAAGGAGAAGTGAAAGGGGGATCATCATTATTATTGTAAAGCTTGCTGTATACAGAGGATGGTCCATAGTATATATACAAAGGTGGTGAAAGGTTAGGAAGGTAAAGGGGCGGTAAAAGCAGTTATAACAGTCTGCTTTGATTACAAGAAGGCCTTTGATTATCCTACCCTTCTACATTATCTGTTGTGCTCATATTAATAATATTATCCTCTGTTACCCCCCGTAAGCTGGAGCATGCAAGTCTTGTATTCCCAGCTTAGACTTGAAGAGCCGGAAGTGGGATATAAGAAGAGGCTTAGTGAATCCGTCGGCTACTTGATTCAAGGAAGTCACAGATAGCAGCTTAATTAGCCCTTGACTTAGCTTTTCTCTAACAATATGACACTCAATGTCAAGGTGTTTGGTGCGCTCATGAAACACATAGTTTTCAGCAATTGCTACTGCGGATTTGTTATCACGAAATATGGTCGCTGGTTTGTTTATTTCAACTTGCAGATCTTTGAGCAAATATGTTAACCACTGGACTTCGCAGACAGTAGCTGCTAATGCACGGTACTCGACTTCTGATGATGATCGTGAGACCGTTGCTTGTTTCTTGGACCTCCAGGAAATTAAAGCAGAGCCAAGGAAGGCACAGTAACCTGTGATGGACTTACGAGACTCTGAGCAGGTTGCCCAATCAGAGTCTGAGAACACTTTCAATTGTAGATGAGTGTTTGCCGGATAGAACAAGCCTTGGCCTGGCGATGCTTTGATGTACCTTAAAATGCGATGCATAGCAATCAAGTGTTTATCTGTAGGAGCATCCACGAACTGGCTTAGCTGCTGAACCGCATATGTGATGTCGGGTCTCGTGGCTGTAAGGTACAGGAGTCTCCCCACTAATCGTCTATAGCTGCTGATATCAGTGAGGGGTGTGCCATCTCCATGCGCCAATTTCAGGCCTTGCATCATCGGGGTGTTGGCTGGTTTGCTACCAAGAAAACCAGCTTCCTCAAGGATTTCCAAAGCATATTTGCGTTGACTGATGTTCAAACCATTCGTTGTAGCATTAGCTTCTATCCCCAAAAAAAACCCAGGGAGCCCAAATCCTTGATTTTAAACACATTGTTTAGGAATGCTTTGAGGTCTTGAATGAGGTCGATTCTGGAGCTTGCAACCAATATGTCATCGACATATACAAGTAGAGCAATAAAGTTGGTGGTGTCTCCTCTGGTGAATAAAGAGGGATCAGACTGGGATTGCTTAAAACCGATGTTGAGAAGGGCAGCACTTAATTTTGCATTCCACTGTCGGCTGGCTTGTTTGAGGCTATATAAAGACCGCAAAAGTTTACAGACTTGATTCGGTTTGCTGCTTTGAAATCCGGGTGGCAACACCATGTAGACTTCCTCATTCAAGTCACCATGGAGGAACGCATTACTGATGTCCATTTGATGTATGTACCATGCTCTAAAAACTGCCACACTCAGAAATGTTCGGATGGTTGTTATTCTTGCTACCGGAGAGAATGTTTCCAGGTAATCCACACCAAATTGCTGGGTATACCCTTTTGCAACCAGTCTTGCCTTGTACCTTTCAATAGTACCATCGGCTTTGAGCTTGACTTTATAAATCCATTTGCAACCTATAGGAACCTTTCCTAGAGGCAAATCAATTAATTCCCATGTTTTATTGTTCTGTAGAGCAGTGATTTCTTCACCCATAGCCTCTTTCCAGCACTCATGTTGGATGGCTTGCTCATATGTCTTGGGATCATTTATGTTAGTCACTGCCATGGAGAAATGCCTGTGTGAAACCATTAAACTGTCATAAGATATTACCTTTGACAATAGATGCGGGGATGTTCTGTTCTTTATGGCAACATCGCAGTAGTAGTCTTGCAGTTTGCTTGGTGCTTGACGTTGCCTATTAGATCTCCGGGGTTGATTAGGAATGACAGTGTGATGAGTGTCTAAGTTGCCTTCATCATCATTGCCACCACCACTGTATGTCTCAGGAATGATGGTGTGAGGAGTATCTAAGTTGCTTTCACCAATATTGCATGCCTCATTATTCTCTGAGTGTGGTAACATGGGAGTATTGAGTTGGGCTTCACTATGGGGACTACCAGTATGGCGTTGCTCACTGTCAACTTGCTGTGAATTGTTATTATGCTCCTGAAAATCAAATTCTTCACAGTTAGAGAGTGGAATGAAAGGTAAAGAAGGTACAGATGATTGTTGTTCCATCTTGTGCTGATCAAGATCGGCCAAGGGAAACTGCTTCTCATAGAATACTACATCCCGTGAGATAAATGTGGCTCCATCATGAAGATCATACAACAAATATCCTTTTATGTTGGCAGGTATCCCTATGAACATACACTTCCTACTGCGTGCCGCCATTTTATAACGTGAATGTGGTAGAGTTTATGCATAGCATAAACATCCAAACACCCTGAGGTTACCAAGATTAGGATCCTTCGCATGTAACTTGCGATAGGGACTTAGCCATTCAAGGATTGGTGACGGCAGGCGATTTATGATGAAAGATGCATGAAGAACACACTGCCCCCAAAACTCAAGAGGGAGACCAGCCTGAAAACTGAGGGCTCTTGCAACATTTAAGATATGTTGGTGCTTGCGTTCAACCACGGCATTCTGTTGTGGTGTATTCACGCAAGACCTCTGGTGAACAATCCCATTCTCAGCAAAAAAACTCAACATATTAAATTCCATGCCATTGTCACTTCGTATAACTTTGATAGGCAGCCCAAACTGAGTTTGCACGAATTTATGAAAGTTTCTTATCAAGCCATGAGTCTCAGATTTGTTTCTCATTAAGTGGATTCATGTGTATCTCGAATGATCGTCCACTATGGTTAAGAAATAGCGCTCTCCTCCTAATGATTGAACTAGAAATGGTCCCCAAATATCAACGTGTATCAACTCAAAGCATATATTTGTCATGGTGCTGCTCAACGGGAAGGGGGAACGTTTGTGTTTGGCAAAGTGACAAACATCACAGGCTAAACTCTTTGTGTGAGAAACATTTATATCACTTAAGTGATGCATTTTATTCATAGGGAAATGCCCTAACCTTTGGTGCCAAACCTCAGCACTACAATTCATGGCAACATGTTTACAAGTATTAAAATGACTTCCTGGTGATTGGAGCAGCAGATATAGCCCATTATCTTCTCTAGCAAAACCAGCTGTCTTCCCATGGCTCCCCCGGAGAAGGCACTGATCAGAGGAGAATGTTAATGTGTATGGTGATTTTTGGAGCAATTTACTAACTGAAACAATGTTAAATTTAAAAGAAGGTATGTGCATAGCATTTCTTAACCACAAGTCATCATCTAATTTCACATTTCCCACGTGTTCCACTGTAACATGTTTTCCATCTGGCAAACTAACAGTTATCCCTTCAACAGTATAATATTCATCAAATAGTTCAATGGAGCAAATTATATGGTCAGAAGCACCAAAATCCAGAATCCAATTGGATGAAGATAGGGCAATAGTATTAATTAGAGGAGGGATAGTGCACTTGCCTTCACCTTGTGACTCAGTTTTGGTGAATTTTGGAATGAGAGAAACTGCAGCTGTGGTTGAGGTTCCAATCTGCCCCATCTGAAGTTAAAGAAGAGAAATCAACTTTTGAAGTTGATCAGAAGTCACGTTGCCGCTGCTGTCAATGCTCGTAGCTGCTGCAATCTGCTGTTTGCCTTTTGATTTAAAGCCTGGAATCCACCCCGATGGATATCCATGCTTTTTGTAGCATTTCTCTACTGTATGTCCGGTCATGCCACAAAAGGTGCACTTAGGTGCTTTGTTTCCACCAGATGCGTTCATGATCCTCCGGTTGCCGAATTGATTAACAGCTGCAACAATATCTCCTGTGTTGGCCTGATCAGCTTGATTAGTTTGAATGGAGTTGGCGTGACCAAGTTCTAGGCCACTTAAATTCAGATTCACAATATTCAGTTGCCTCTCAAATTTCTCAGCCATGACGAAAACTTTGTGCATTTCCGGCAGCGGATCGAGGACGAGAACACCTGACTTGAGAGAGTTATAGTCTTCGTTTAGGCCTTGCAAAAATCTGATAATTTGATCAACTTCTCGTTCGTTTCTGATTTGATCCACTAGATCACAGGAGCACCGTGGATCACACTTGCAAATAGGCAAAGGTTGCAGTTCATTCATCTGCTCCCATAGAGTTTTGCATTTTGTATAATAATCATTCACCGTCAAATTTTCCTGTTTCAATGAGTATATTTCAGACTGTAGAATTGAGATCCGATGTGGATCTTGTTGGGAGAACCTTCTGCTTAAATCGTTCCAGACCTCCCTAGCTTTATCCATATACATTATGCTTTGAGCTATGGTCGGATGAACAGATTTGCGGATCCAAGAGCAAACCATCAGATTACACCTTCTCCAGGCGGCATATTGTGAGCTCGTCCTGTCCGGCGTTGTGATGCTACCGTCAACCACACTCCATTTGTTCTTTACCTCCAAGGCTACGCGCATGGAGATATTCCAGGAACCGTAATTAACGCTACCTGTAAGCGGCGGATTGACAAGAATCGCATTGGCGTTCTCATTGCTGCTAAGGTAGAGAGGATTCTCAATATCCTCAAGGTTGCTCCTCTGCGGAGTCAAGCTACTCTGTGGATTGGTCGTCACGAGCTTGCAGTGAGAATCAGTAAAGGAGAAGTGAAAGGGGGATCATCATTATTATTGTAAAGCTTGCTATATACAGAGGATGGTCCATAGTATATATACAAAGGTGGTGAAAGGTTAGGAAGGTAAAGGGGCGGTAAAAGCAGTTATAACAGTCTGCTTTGATTACAAGAAGGCCTTTGATTATCCTACCCTTCTACATTATCTGTTGTGCTCATATTAATAATATTATCCTCTGTTACTAATACCGTAATTTTTTCTAATAATAATAATAATAATAATAATAATAATAATAATAATAATAATAATACTAATACTAATAATAATAATAATAATAATAATAATAATAATAATAATAATAATAATAATAATTTAAATAATAATAATAATAATAATAATAATAATAATAGTGTGCGCAAACTCGTAATGCAAAAGGATTAAAAAAAATTAAGAAGATGCCTAAAGCTGGAGTAGCATGCAAGTCTTAAACCTTTAACCTCTAAGTTGAAATACAATAAACACATGTTTTTACCATTTCTTCATGGAGCCTTTTAAGGGGTATTTGGTTCGGGTTATCTAAGATAACAAGGGCTATCTTTAGCAAGTTATATGACATTCATGTGTTTGGTTGAAGTTATCTAACATTCCCTTGGAATAAGATTTAACCTCCACATAAGTTTTTTTCTTATTTTGAAGGGAATGTGATTCCCTTGGTTTCCTTAGGTAATGTAAGATTACCTTGCCTTTTTTTTTTTACAACTATACCCTTCACTCTTTTATAAACTTATGCTAACAATTATAGCATAAAGAACAACACTTCAACCAAACAACTTTATATTACATATCTCAATTTTAACCAAACACAAGATTCTAATATTCTCAGGAATTCAACATTCCCCACAATCTAACATTCCCTAAGATAATCTAACATTCCGTGAACCAAACGACCTCGTAAGATTAATTGAAAATTTTTAATTTGTATTTCTAAACTAGCTAAATAAAATTAAATATTAGGCCTATAAAATTTTGGGGCCCTTCTAAAATTTGGGGCCATGTGCTATAACCCAACTTGCACAGCCCAAAATTTGGCCCTGCCTACACTGAATGTACTTTGTAAAATTGGAAAGAACATATTGGTTCACCAAAATATTCTTTAATTACCATAATATTATAATATTCAAATATTTCATAATAATTCAAATAAATCAAATACTATACTTGTTGGTTTTATGACTTTTGCGCAATCAACGGTTGGCCAACACTACCTTTAAAATAACGAGTATATAGGAAAAATATAGAGAGAATATATGGAGAGAATATAAGTACTTTGTATTGATGAATATTGCTTGTGAATCGTAGAAATTGACTGCAAATTATATTGTGGACCATGGTCCAAAATGGTGTCGTTTCTTTTAATGAAAAGAAACGGCACACGTTTCGCGTAAAGTAGTTCTGTTTGTATAATATATTTAGTTTCATTTCAACACAACTATAGTTTCATTCGACATTATACATACAATAGTCTTATTTTAGTGAGACATGTTATTGAATTTCATTTTATATACATTGTAGTCTTATTACAACACCATTAAATTATAATTCTAATTCTACTACGGTTTCATTGGACAATATACACCCAAATATGTGAAACTGTTATTCAGTTTCATTTTATATACACTGTAATTTCATTACAACACAACTACAGTATCATTTCGATATAACTACAGTTTCATTGGACAATATACACTCAAATATGTGAAATTGTTATTCAGTTTCATTTTATATAGATTGTAGTTTCATTACAACACCACTACAGTATCATTTAGATATAACTATAGTTTCATTGGACAATATACATTCAAATATGTGAAACTGTTATTCAATTTCATTTTATAATACACTGTAATTTCATTAGAACACAAATGCAGTATCATTTCGATATAACTACAGTTTCATTGGACAATATACACTCAAATATGTGAAACTGTTATGCAGTTTCATTTTATATACAATGTAGTTTCATTACAACACAACTACAGTATCATTTCTATTCAACTACAGTTCTATTTAACAATATACACGCAATATGTGAGACATATTATTCAGTTTCATTTTATACATACTGCAGTTTCATTCCAACACAACTAAAGTATCATTTCAATTCACTTACAGTTTCATTTGATAATATAAACACAATATGTGAGACAGTTTCCTTTTAGATACACTGTAGTTTCATTTTGTTATGAACACAAAAAAAAAATAAAAAAATTACGGGCTCTTTTTAAATGTAACGACAATCATTTCTTTACTTAAAGAAACGGAGCCATTTTCAGATTATGGTCCACAGTATAACAATTGGAAATTGACACCCTGATGTATGGGGTCTATTTATACATATCTTGGGCCTAGAGCCCTACAAGGAATAAGAATCCTAGACTGCGGGAGTCTTTGTTACATTGGAAATAATAAGCTCTAATCTTATTACACTAGGAATAATGATCCCAACCCTTATAACATTATGAATAATAGGAACATTCCTTAACAAACTCCTAAAAGTCCTAAGTTGCTCCGTACTATATATCCTTCTTGGACTTCAATTCCTTGATCTAACTGTTTTTTTAGGTCGATCCATATGGCTCATGCCTAGTATACCATCTATCAATACGGTTAATAATAAGACACGCCCGCATGGGCAACTCAATTGGTCATAGAGGTGAAAGTTTGGAAGAATGACCAGAGATCGAGTCTCATCAACCCCAATGTAGGAGCAACCTCTCAAAGTCCAGTTAAGTTTCCTGAATGTATTCTTTTTTTTTTTAATACTCAAACTAGTTTATATAAAACTATTATTTAAATAATTAACATTATAATATTGACAACTATTTATTTACTAAATAAAAACAAATATCACACAAGACTTTTCATTTTAAAGTATTGTAGAAAATAATACTCCTTATTAACAAAAAAACTAATATTTTTTTTAACTTCATGTATATTATTTATATTACAGAGTAGTAGTTTAAATAAATTCTTTGATTACGTACATATTTAAATATGGAACAGTAATAATATATTAATCTGAATCATGTTATATATTTTTTCAGTTTTTTATTCTATTTCCTTGTAGGTATATGTAAACATACAATCATTTAGATTTGAATTTTATGTCAAATTATAATGGCATTGGTCATGATATATAGTAAAGCAGTATATTCATCATAATAACACTGTAAAACAGGTGCCATTGTATAATTGGTCTCAGAGTTAGAGAAAGACGATTGGTCAAGTTGTTTTTTTTTTTTTTGTTATTTTTTTTTGACTATTCAATTTTTTTTTTTTTTTTTTTTTTTTTTTTTTTTTTTGCGTAGGTATTATCAGACTTAAGAAAATTGTAAATACGCAATCAAAATTAAAAAAGAAATAGCACAATTAACACTTCATCTTACAAGTCTTAATACTTAAAGCATAAAAAATAATAGGGGGGAAAATAATGTAACCTACATACTAATGCTTTTCGAAATGATGATCCAAAATGATTGCAGCATTAGGGTCAACTAAATTTATAGACCCACAGAGTATTTTGGGTGTCGGTCCATAGGGAATTGAGTGTTAAGTACTAACTCAGATTGATTCTTGTGAAGTTAATTCAATTGTAAGGAGGAAGCAACAAAACTAAAAATAAATCTAGAAATATAGAAATAGGTGTATTTATAGTTCGGTAAAAGATCAAGGGGTTTGACAAATTTGCGTAGTAGAAAATTGCAGTTATGAGACTTTTTACGCGTCAAGTGATAAGTAGGATGCGTCGCCGCCCAACCATTCATCTTCTTCGCCAATCGCCATTGCTAAGGGAGGGATTTTGACTTTCGCGGTTAGTGATTTGGACTTTTGGTTGTGGACGGTTGTGGGGTTTTAGTAGTAATAATAATAATAATAATAATAATAATAATAAT